GGTACATGCTGTGGACCTGTCTAAACTGGCAACCGAGCAGCAGTACTCAAAGTTTCAATTGTGGAAAGTTAAATTCAGCAACCTGTCCAAAGTGCTAACAGAGCTTTTTGGTACAACCTCCTTGGCAGTGGCAAAGAAGGTGCATCTTCATTAACAGTGTTGGGGCAGCAAAAGTGTTTTCTGATCTTTGGAAGCTGGAGCCAAGTTCCTCTTCTTGTGTCTCAGCACAGGACACTGTTTTCCCAGGCAGAGAGGTGAGGCTGTGTTTCAGGAACAAGCACTTGCTGGAAAATAGTTTGTTATGTGCTGGAACGCTGTTTTCAACCTGTGCTGTACCAGCCTCCCTGCAAGGGGGCAGTTTGGGGGGTTTGCACTCACACAAAGTGACTGAAGAAAAGGAAGTTTGTGCCTGCACAACAATCTGAAGGGAAATTGCTACAACAAATGCACATCTAATGGCAGGTTTTAGAACTCTGTATATCAAGAAGATTGAAAGACACTTTGCTAATATTACAAAACCTATGCATGGTGGTAGTGTTTGAAATTCTGCTAATAGTCTTTTTTTAGCTATCCAGTAATTGCACCTCTCAATGGGAACGCTGCTCAGGAGTAATGATCCTATCAAGACAAGGGAGTATAGATTGTAGTAAAGGTTATGATGGTTTCTGCGAAAGGCTTAGCATTGATCCTTTCAGCTATCTGATTTTCCAAGAGGAAAAAAAAAACAACAACTTTGAGTTAAGCAGGCGGTTCAATGAGAAAATTCTTATGGTTAGTTTTAGAAGATGGAACTTGGAGTGAATTTGCTAAACTGTTTTTTTTTTCCTCTCTTTATTGATGAATGCTTTTAAAAAGAAATGGATTTTTCTTTCCCACACATTTCAGATGCTCGTCTCAGTTCTTCCTCCCCCCCCCCATGCAAGTCGAAATTGTTAGAGAATTGAAAAGTAAAAATCTGTAACATTGAAAAGGCCATGTTGTGAAATATATCATAAACACCCTGTTAGAGCAGTGCTTGCTAATTAAGGGAGATTGCTCCTGGGAAACAGCAAGCCTGTAACAGAGATCAGCCCCCTTTGATCCTCTGTAGAGTTTGTCAAAACCTTGCCTGCCTAAACTTGTCTGCAGCTTGTTACATATTTTATCCATCTGCTGCAAGGCCAAAAATAAGCAATTTATAATTCAGCTGAACTCCAGTTGTTCAGCAGATCACAGACTGAGGAGCCTTCAGTACGAAGAGAGGACAGAAGAGAAGCCAAGCACTGGCTGAGCAGAGAGGGACTACGCTGGGTTGTGGTCGTACAGGTGTGTCCCTGGTGTGGCTGCAAAGCAGCTCGGATTTTTCCAATGAAACACGCTTCAGTGTCTGTCTGTTGTGTATATATTGAGATCAGAACATTTGTGGGAGTTTGCAGCTTTAATCTGGATGGATTTCCCAGGACTTGGTTAGAGTAATGGATCATAGAATATCCCAAGTTGGAAGGGATCCATAAGGAACATCGAGTCCAACTCCTGGCACTGCACGGGTCTACCCGAAATTTTGGACCATGTGGCTAAGTGCACAGTCCAAATGCTTCTTAATTCAGACAGGCTTGGTGCCATGACTACTTCCCTGGGGAGCCTGTTCCAGTGTGCGACCACCCTTTAGGTGAAGAACCTCTTCCTGATGTCCAGCCTAAACCTCCCCTGACTCAGCTTGACACCATTCCTGCAGGTCCTATTGCTGGTGATTATGGAGAATAGGTCAGCACCTGCCCCTCTGCTCCCCCTCATGAGGAAGTTGTAGGCTGTGATGAGGCACCCCCTCAGCCTCCTCTTCTCCAGGCTGAACAGGCCCAGTGCCCTCAGCCACTCCTCATACGTCTTCCCCTCTAGGCCCTTCACCATCTTCATCGCCCTCCTCTGGGCACTCTGACAGTTTAATGTCCTTCTTGTACTGTCGTGCCCAAAACTGCACGCGGTACTCAAGGTGAGGCTGCACCAGCGCAGGGTAGAGTGAGACAATCACCTCCCTTGACAATGTGCTCAGGGGGCCAAGAAGACCAACAGCATCCTGGCTTGTATAAGCAGCAGTGTGGCCAGCAGGGCTAGGGAGGTGATCGTCCCCCTGTACTCAGCTCTGGTGAGGCCGCACCTCGAGTACTGTGTTCAGTTTTGGGCCCCTCGCTACAAGAAGGACATGGAGGTGCTTGAGCGGGTCCAGAGAAGGGCGACGAAGCTGGTGAGGGGCCTGGAGAACAAGTCCTACGAGGAGCGGCTGAGGGAGCTGGGCTTGTTCAGCCTGGAGAAGAGGAGGCTCAGGGGCGACCTTATTGCTCTTTACAGATACCTTAAAGGAGGCTGTAGAGAGGTGGGGGTTGGCCTGTTCTCCCACGTGCCTGGTGACAGGACGAGGGGGAATGGGCTAAAGTTGTGCCAGGGGAGGTTTAGGTTGGATATTAGGAGAACTTCTTTACCGAGAGGGTTGTGAGGCATTGGGATAGGCTGCCCAGGGAAGTGGTGGAGTCACCATCCCTGGAGGTCTTTAAAAGACGTTTAGATGTAGAGCTTAGGGATATGGTTCAGTGGAGGACTTGTTAGTGTTAGGTCAGAGGTTGGACTAGGTGATCTCAGAGGTCTCCTCCAACCTAGAAAATTCTATGATTCTGCTAACCATGCTTTCCTTTTGGATCTGAACAGCCTTGTGTGGCAGTCAGAGGATGTGTGTACGCACCGTGTTTGCCCCAGCCTGCCTGGTGCATGACAGCTGCAGGTTCAAGCCTCAGCTGCCTCTTTGGGATGCCTGAGGGACCGCATCCAGGCCCTGCAGGTGATTGCAAATCACCGCTTCAATTCTGTGACGGAATTAAATTCACACTTTAAAAAACCCGTCAGCCTTCACGTTTGTGGTGCCAGCCTCCCTGCCGGGGAATCTGTTGTGCGGCGCGGCGCTGGCTGCCTGAGCCGTGGGGCAGTCGGCCACAGCATCCAGGAGATGTGGGACCAACTGGTAGCAGCTCGGAAATAAGTAAGGAGAGAAGCAAGGTATTCCCTGCGAGGATATCACAGGTCTGCCTTCCGTTGGTATTTTGGAACAGATCAGAGCTTCGTTTTCGCAGCCATATGCTTCCTCTGCACTGGTTAGCTGTCGCTCCTGGATGCCTGCATCCCTCCGAGGGCTACTGCTGTCGTGTTCCTTGCTGCAGAGCCTTGTGAAGTCCTCTTTTCATCAAAATCAGAGACTCGTTTGCCGTTCCTTGTAAATAATTGACTGGCTAAAAACGTATCCTGTAACTAGTACTTACTGACCCAAATTTACCTCCTTCCACATGTCAGGAAATCTCGCTGTCTAAATTACCATCGCTTCCCGGTGACTGCTGCGGTGCTGTGACTTCCCAGTGCCATGCATTATGCCTGGAGCGTGTGATCAGCTCTGCGAGAAAATGAGTTGCAGAGAGCAGCGAGGCTTTGACAAGGGCAGGGCTGGGCACGGAGGGTCAATGAAAGGGAGCAGCTCACCTGGGAGCCTGTGTCACGACATTGTCTGCTCTTTGCCAAAGGTTTAATGCATGGCAGGGAGCATTGCCTGTGCCCCGGGGCTGGGTCAGAGGCCAGCAGCTGGCAGGTAGGTGCTGGAGTGTGCCCAGAGCCAGAGGAGTTTGTTACAGCCATCAGCTTTTAAAGGGGCTTTAGTGGCCTGTTTATTTACTGTCCTTGGTAGGACTGCAATTTAAAGTACGTACTGAAGCAGATAATAAGCTTGTTGGAAGTGTCTGCTCCGTAAGTCAACATCACTGGACAAAATTACTCAGGAGAATTATTCAGTAGAGGCATTTCAAAATGTAAAAGACCTTTCAAGTCACTGATCTCATCCGTAAAGAAGCAGTTCCCCCCCCATAAAAGTGTAACCTCCTTCATCCATGCTCCATTTAAATATCCCAAACTGTCGTCTTCCCACGATATTTCTCTGAATATTGTTTAACAAGGTAATGCACATTGCTGCTGATCTTATTTTCTTGCTACTCATCATGTATTTACCCTTTTATAGTTTGATTACTCCTGGGGCTCTAAGTTCAGCAAGACAAATTAATACTGGTATATTATTATTAATAATACTGCTGGGATTATTTCATTTTTGAAGCTTCTTCTTGCATCTTTTTAGTTCTCTGTTAGCCCCAGATCTGCAACTATTTAATTCTTTCTTCCTAAACCCATCACGCTGTGTGTGTAGGCTTTTTCTTCCCCGAGTCCCTCAAAGAATGTCTGTCTTGTGATAATCTGGGAAAATGTGTAATGGGCAAAAAAAGGCACCTTAGCTTTCTGCAAGTTATGACAGAAAAAAAAGACCAATGTTCTTATTTAGTATTCAGGAGAGCTTTAGGAAAGCAAGCTATGGAAAGCCTGATTCCATCTCCAGCTTCAGAGAAATCATGTCTCGGAGTTCATCGCAACCCAAAGGTCAATATTTACAGTTCTCCAAATGTGTGGTTATTCTGGGTATGACAGAGCTTAAACAGCAGTTAAAAATATACCAACTTTTATAAATCTCTTATCATGATTGTTCTGCACTGAAGAAGTGCTATAAGGACCTGGGCTGTGTCTAGGACAGCTTTGTAGTGAGGATGTGGCTGAAGCAGGTAGCTTATTCCAGCCACTGAGGGTTATAATGGGATACAGACCAATGCTGTTGTTAACTTGCTCCTGTTACCCGTGATTTTGTATCTGTAACATCCCACCTCCTGTCTTTTGTTCATTTCTGTGAAGGGCACAATTACTCTGCATCGGGCAGAGAGGGTTTCCGTAAAACCTTTCTGAAATAAAGCATTTGAGGTGGTTTTCTGCCGCAGGCTGGCTCTGCAAGCTTTGGGCCCGTCAGTTGAATCAAACAAAACATAATTCTCCCCAAAATTTCCATTCTTCCCTTTCCCCATCTGGACACGCTAAGGGTGTGGTAGAAGTCAGGACCAGGACATTATCTGAGATATTTTGACTGTTTTGTTTTGTGCTTTATCTTTTACCAGGTCTGTTGACGGCTGTAACCAGAATATGCATGCTTCAGAAAGGTACTTTTGCTACCATGTTCTATGTTTGTGCTTTTATATAAGGTTTAGCAACTCTGCAGGAATATGTGTGATTTGTCCATCATTTCTGGATTTCTAGCGGTATTCTCAATGGGTGGAAGTCATTTTTCCATTTCTCCTCTCAGATCTAGACACCTTAGGTAGATAATGTGTTGGCAGGTGTTGATGGACAAGCAATTTGCAGTAATCTCTTCTGATGCTTATTCTTGTAGCTCCCTGAATTATAAGTGACATGCTGGCAAAATCGAACAACTGATCACCAGATACCGGCATAGTGTTAAACATGGCTTCTGAGGCTGCCCAAAATTTCCTCCAGCCACTGTCGTCTTGGATGTCTCAAATATACGAAGCTCTCCAGCAAGCAGGAGACTCGATATCAGCTTCGTTGCTGAATTTGAGCGGGGTGGGTCGTAAGTCAGAGGAAGAGAGAAACCGGGACTTGGAGGACAATGGAGGAGTTTATGAGGATTATTCTGAGGAATCAGAAGATGAAATACACATGGAGCTGTGGGATGAGGAATACACATATCCTAGAGAAGACGGTCACATTGGGGGTCCTGGTCTTGCTTCACAACCCCTCACTAGTGGCTCTGACCTGGCTCTCCAGAGGCAAAAATGGGTCAAAAATGCCACCAGCTTACCAGAGCAAAGTGTTGAAAGCACCAGGCCTTTGGCAGCCAATGGATCCCACTGGACGAATGAAGATTTCCAGCCACATGATCGGCTTCCTACTATTGCTGAGGAAGAAGGTGAGCCCTCTGTGAGGGTCAGAGACCATGAGAACAACCTCAGCGTGAGTGGCTCCACAGAAATTCATAATGGCAAGGCAAGTTTTGCAGGTAAGCGCCTTTCAAACACCCAGACAACTTCTCCACAGTTGATTTGATGTAGTCGCTAATCTGCTCGTTTTGTTCAGTGTTGTCTTTGTTTCTCACAGATAAAACAGAACCCCAACAAAAATACCAGAGAAATCTAACCATTCCCTCTTACATTTCCAGTTCTTTTCTTGTTCGTGAGATGGATCTAATTGAAATGAGTGGAAATCTCCAGGATGAAATGCCGTGTGTTAGGTGCCACTCAGGCCCTGTTGCAGTAGCATGGAGTAGTTTTCTCACCCCACCATGTTTTGTTTCAGGTAGCAGGATCCTTCAAAGAGAGTGTTTAGCCTTAAGCCTTTGCTTTGAGAACCATCTGCCTTTGCGTCATTGCTATTAAAGATATATATAATCTCAAACCTTGTTTCTTTGTGCCAGGAATCTCAAGATGTTACTGTGCCATGTGCTGTGAAATGCTGTACTAAAAAGTCCCAGCCATATCTCATGATTTTATGGATGAAAGGCTCCCAAATCATTTTCCTCCCCTCCCACCACCCCCACAGGCTTTTGAAATAAAACTGAAAAGGACAGCAGGCAGGAGATTATGGGATGGAGAAATGAATTTGGTATTTTCGGTTTTAAATAGACCTAGCTGTGACTTCTGATCATCAAGTGACACGAACAGCTTCTCAGGTCGTGCTCAGGACTGAACCTCAGCCACTGGAACTTGTACTCCGGTAGGATACCTCTGTTGCTGTGGCCAGAGCTTCCCTGGGCCCAGAAGGCTGATGGAGATTTGTGTCCTAACCAGATGTAGGAAAGCTGCAGTCCTGCTGGCACCACCTTGGGGTCTTGCTGGGGTAAAGCTGCTCCTCGGAAACAAATTCCTAAGGTGGTGGTTAACGGGAGGAGGGCAGGGAGGTTTACAATATGAAGCTGGTGGGGAACTTGAGATTTCATGAATCTCTTCTGAGCCTATTTTCAAATACCTAATATCTAAGAAGAGGTTCTGCCTAACCATCAGGAGGCACTTCTGTGGTGTGTGGGTGATGGAGCACTGGCACTGGTTACCCAGATATGCTGTGGGGTCTCCTCCTTGGAGATCTTCAAAAGCCATCTGGGCATAGACCTGGATGGCCCTGCTTGAGAAGGGGCTTGGGCCAGTTCCCCTCCAGAGGTCCCTGCCAACCTTAACCAGGTGTGATTCTGTGATTCTGTAATTGAAATGAGCTTTTGGTCTAACTGTTCTGTCCCTCAAACTGGGGCTGCTTGCGTCATATTCCAACTGAGTGAATACTGATTCGAGCAGGGCTTGTAGGGTCCTTCCAGGGCGTGCTGGAGCCACGGACCCCCCTGTACAAGTGCTACACAGGGCAGGTTGTCCTGTCTCTGGACCGTACCCTTGCTTGCAATGGATGGGAGAAAAGGTGGTGAGCTCTCGGGGAGCTGGGGGCCAGGAGTGGGCTGAATCACTGTCAGAACAATTCCTCACCTGCAGGGACAGCTGAGGAGGACGGCTCTGAGGAGCACTGGGATGGACAATGTGAATTTTCCAGGTGAGATATGTAAGGCAGAGTGACACCGAGAGGTGCCCGGGTAACCTGTCACCCCAGCTGAAGGGGAGAGTTGCTGTGAGCCTTTTCCCAGCTGACAGCAGATGCTGGCCACGTAGGTGCTGGGCTCTCTCCCATTACTTATTAGTTTTCCTTCTAGAGGACTAGGAGGCCTCACAGATCTCCCTGGCACCCACCTCGCTGCAGCTTAGAGTGCTCTGCTTCCTCACGAAGCGCTTTAGAGGGCATTGCAAGGCTTTTTACACCAAAGGGATTGTCACCCCCAATGCTCCCAAATGGTCTTTTATCTTCTAATCTCGGCAGTGCCCTGCACAAAGCGCCATCCGGTGCTCTCGGTACCTGGTAGTCGTGAAGCTGGCTGCTGGAGGGCTGGCACCCGATACCTTTCTTCTCAGAGCTCTCCAAGTTGTATAATAGGAGGGAAGGTGCTGAACTGTGGTTTGAAGATGCCCTCTGTGCGAACTCTGATGTGGGAGGACTCATTTTGCTCTTGCCAGCGACCCTTCTCTTCCAAAACACAGACATACTCTTTGTATTTCACGTCTTTCTTTGCATTTCCTCTTTTTCCTTTAGATTCATTCTCTAACATCAAGAGTGCGAACTCTTCTGACGGTAACCTAGACATGCAGGGAGGCTGCAATGCCCTGGCAACTTAAAATTTCACTCACGGATTAGAGTGATCAAAAGAAGATGTTTGAGGTATCCGTATTTCTGCTGGTTTTGTTACCTAACCCTAAGTGACAATGTAAGTGAGCATATGGACTTGCTGACATTCAGCAAAGGCGTTCAGTAGCATCGCTATTAGCTTGGAGCATTTTTCCTTGCATTTGGCATTTTTTCCTCGTTTCCACCAAATACATGTATCCTGTTTATCCTTATATTCTTTCAGAACATTGCATCTTGACTTTATTTCACTTAATGTACCATATTTCTCTCCACAATAGAATATTTTAAAGCTAAATTGGCACAAAACAGTTGCGATGCTGAATGCTTTTTGTTGCCATGGAAATATTTCTGGGCACTTACTGAAGACCTGGTTGCCAATAGTAATGTAACAGAGAAAATAGATATGCTTCATTTAGCAGCCACTGGTGATTAAAGAGCCACAGAAACCCGTTACAAGGTCATTCCAATATATAGTTTATTAGATTTAGGGGGGAAAAAAATCACCCTAGAAAAGAAAAGTTTAAAAAAAAAATTCAAAACAAAATCCAGTTGTTCCCCTCTCTTAAACTTACATCATGCTTCTGAGATGAAATAAAATAGAACTGCAGTTAAAACCCATCATTATGCCGCCTTCTTTTTATCAAATACGTTTCTGATCACATTTCTGCCTCCTAGGAAATGTGTCCTAGCTCCCAGGGTAGCTTTTCCGACGCCCCAGAGCAGCTCACGCATTACTGAAAACCATTTTTAGGCTTAGGGATTTAATACAGCGTTTGAGCAATGAGATTCTTGGGTTCTTAAGTCAAATGTCTGCTGGGTACCGCGAGGCATGCTGAGCAGCGGGGTGCAGGGCTGGCTGCTGCCGAGTCCTGGTTTGTACTTCAGTGATGCTTGTAATGTCGTGCCAAGGTTTCAAAACAAATGCAGGGAAAAGTTTTTCACTTTGAATGCTTTTGGTCCACGGCATAAGAATGAGGAAGGAGTTCATTGAAGCACGGTGCTTGGTTTTGAGGTGATGGGATTGCAGCCCCTTCGCGCAGGCAGGTCTCTGCCACCACCTGTATGCTTTGAAAATAGAGATGAACTTGCTCCTGCAGCTTCCTCGAGACCTTCCTTGTTGTCTAACCTCAGTGTTTCTGACAGAGGAACCATCGCCCATCTCAGAAGGGGGAGAGAGAAGCTTTCGCATCCCCCTGTGGCGGAGACGGAGCGGCTCAGCTGACTGGGGGTGGCTGGTGAGAGAGCGGCTGCCAAATCCATCATTGCACATTTGGCTTAAGAGTTGGGGAGAACAAAAAAAATAAAATAAAATGCAGTGGAGCAATAAGGCACTTCCAAAAGTAGAGAGCTGCTAGCAGAGGGGTAGAGCTGGCCGGTCCGTCTGTTTTCCCAGCCTGGCGCTGTTATAGAAAATCAGTACTGATGAAAAAAGCGGAGAGCAGTGATAATCGTGCTCTGAATGCAGTGAGCTCAACCCGCTTCTTCCTCGGGGCCTGCGTCCTTTGCAAACAGAAAGTCAAAGTGACCATTAAGCAGAGCGGTTTGGGCAGCGGCTGCTCTGCAAAGACACGGGGAGAGGCACACGTTGGCAGAGCCGGGGTTGTGAATCAGAGCCGAGCTATTTTTGCACAGCCGGCGCTGTGATTGAGGAGCCTCCCGAGCTGTCTGACACCGCGCTCATAACACCAGCGTAATATATAGGTGAGCGCTACGCTGAAATTGCATCAAGTCTGGGGAGACTTCTCCCATCAATTAGGCAATCCCAGCGCTAGCTGAGGACGGCCTCTCAGCCACGCTGAGGTAAATTGTTTGACCTTGGAACACCAGGAAGGCTGGTGTCCTGATGGGAATCTCGTCTGGATGGCTGCAGTCATCCTCCACACGTGTGTAACGGGAGGCCCTGGGAGTTTTTAAAACTAGAGAGCTCCACTGCATTTACTTACCTTAGCCTCCAGCTTAACAGGGGTCATTGATTTTTGCCGGTAATTGCTGTAGTGGAGGAAATTATTCTTTCTGCTCTATATAAGCGCTCCTGACCTCGGTAAATGACCCTTTATACGGCCAGGAATTCCTCGGCAAGAAGTGAGTTTTCATTAGGTCCTGTAGCAAGATCCACCCCTACCAAAAAGCTGTTGCTCGTGTGATAAATCAAACTTCTGCCTGCACCTGGGACTAAAATAGACAGCTGGGCTGTTTCCATTTAAAGATCCCGAGTGTTGATGTGTTTTATCACCTGTCTGCCCACGGAGCCAGCCCGTGCTCCAGCCAGGACGTAGCCCTATAAAAATCAGCGCCTGCTCTCCAAGCAGGACATCTGAAGAGGGTACACTGAATCAGCAGCACCGCCAGGACCGAGTGAAAGCAGGCAAAGACAGGCGGTGGACAAAAGCACTTCACAGAAAATGCTCCTGGCTGCTCGAGTGGGAGAGATGAAGCGCAGACACGAGGTTGCATTCAGCGCTTTCTCTCTGGGAAACTCAGAGCCACTCAGGAAGTATTTGTGCGCAGACTTTTGTCCTTGCGAAGGTGGCACCGTGTTCCTTTGTATGTTCAAAATACTCCTTTGCAGTTCTGCCTTTGCAAAGTTTCAAGTTGTGAGGTATTTTCATCCAGAATGCCACAAGTAAGTGGATGAGAGCCTGTGGCGGCCCTGAAAAGGGGGCGGATGGCAATATTTCCAGCTGTACAACTGGGGGAGTGGAGGCAAAGAGTTTTCAAAGGCGCTACTATTGTGGGATCTGTCTTATCCCCATCAACATTTGCTGTTCATCCCCAGTTCGTGGTTTTAGAAGCAGTCTGCCAGCCCGCAGTGGCTCGGTGGTTTGGATTTTCACCGAGCTCCTTGTCTGGTGATCAAGGCTTCGTCCTGCCCAGCTCCCTGGGAGCTGTGTCCAGGAGCACTCGGCGTCCGTGCTGGCCATCCAGCAGGTTGCATAAGCTGCGTGCAGGAAGATTTTTTTAAGAGGAAGAAATGGCTGTTGCCATTCAGCACAGTTGCAGAACAAATTGTGTGTGTGAGCGTGTGTGTTTGTGCATGTATTTTCTGATCCGCTTTTGCTAAGTGGCATCCTCTTCCCACTCCCCATATGGCAGCTGCGACTTTATCTTCCTCTGGGAAGGTTGTTTAGGGGCCCAGGAGGCTTCATTTGCCAATAAACAGCATCTTGGCAGCAGCTGGGAAGTGCTGCCTCTCTCCTAGAAACCCTGCCTCCTCACCTTCCTTCTCCTACTACAGGCGAGGCAGGTGCGAATGATCTCACTGCGTCGTGGTGGAGGTTACGTGCAGGCATACTAGCAGCACCCTGCAGCACTAGGACATAGTATTTCCCCGAGCTGACACCAGCAGTAGTACTTCTTCCCATTTTCTCTTCCCAGCTGCAGTCGTTGCTCGCTCAGCCTGCTTTGCAGGAGGCTGCTCGTGCAAACCCATGGCTGTGGGCAGATGCTTGCGGAAGGAAATGACCGTAAGAACTGCTGGAAGTGTGGGTGATCCTCCTCTGGTTCTTCCTACCCTCTTTGCGTTGCTTACCAGCACAAAGAGCACTCGTGAACTGATTGAGATGGCATCAGTGGTGTTCCTCACCTTCTGCCAGAGGTAGGGGTGAGGACGTGGCTTCGTTTCTGGCTCTTGTGACGAGCTGCTGGCAGGAGTCGTCATCTTGAGTAGCCTGGTGGACTCCCAAAACACAATGGTAGTAACCGAGGGGAAATACTGGGATGAAAGAAGACAGGGAGATTGCAGTTATGGGGGAAAAACATGCAGTTTTACAGGTGGTGAGGGGCAGTGTTGTGCTGTGTGCATCTTCCAGGCAACGAGGGAGACGTGGTTGGGCTCTGCCTCTGCGATGCATTCTCATGGTTCTCCTGCAGTTACCTGTGGCTTAGGGAGGCTTCATCAGCAGCTATTTGTAGACCAACCATGGATGAGTTAGGCTGAATCTCAAACCAATCTGTAGCAGAATCTGTAGAAGATCCCTTCAGGTGAGCATGAGAAGAGCTGCTGCTCTCCTGGCCTCCTCACCCCACCCAGAAGCTCCCTGACGTGCAGGCACGTGCTCCCCCGCCAGAGAGCTGAGCAGTGCTGCTGATGAAGCATCCCTGGAAGGACTCATGGCACCGGGTGAGTGTGAGCCCACGCAAGCCGTGTGCTCGGAGACATTTCGTTCCTCGGGCTGAGGAGATTCGAGCCCATGCAGCCTATACGTAGCAGCATAATCTGTGTGGGAGCACTTCCCAGCAAAGAGTTTGAGAGTTGCGGCACTGGAGAGACAGCCTTGAGTTTGGATTAACGACAACACCGAGGTTTGCTGAAGCTCTGTGTCATAGGGCCTGGACCTCTTACCATAAATACTGTGCTGTAGCTGAGACCACTGGGCCTGAGGGTGGTTTTGCAGCTGTCGGTAGGTGATGTGAACCTGCAGCTCTGACCTTCCCTGCTCACAAGTTATGCTGCTCCCCATGCCTGGAATCACAGGCGTGCCATTGCTTGGGGGATTGAACCTGCTCATTGCTTCCTCTGAGAGTCACCTGCCCCTTCCTCATTGCTCTTAAACCAGGTGAGTTGGCCACAGCTGGAACAGGGAGAAACGGGGAGGAGAAGGAGGACAGGACTGTCCCTTTTGGGTGACAGCAGTGGTCACAAACCCATCAGAGCCCTGTTGCACCACATCCACAGCCACCCGTGCCCCCGAGAGCTGTGATTTCCCCAGGGGTGCTGGGTGGCGTTGCAGCAGTGGCAAAAAGAGGCTGCGGTGAATCAGCCCCGTGGCAGCAAACAGAAAGGTTCAATTAGAAAAGCCAGCGGGAAAATAAAGATCTGCCTCGTTGCAATGCGGTAGTTATCCGTAGCAACCCCAAACAAATATCTGTGCGAGGGAGGCGATTTCCACCCTGTTAATCAGCAAACAAAGCCTCGGGGGTGTGAAGCTGGTGGTTACGGTGCTGAGCGCCACGAGTGGCTGTAATCAGCCCGCGTTTGCTGGGTCTGGCTGCTTGTGAGCGTGGCACAGCGAAACCACGGGAGGAGCAGGAGGCAGTGTATGGGGTCTTCGTGGCCAGCTCAATTTCTGTGAGGGGAGAAGGCCGTTTTCTGGAAGAAGCTAGTGCTGGTTCAGGCAAAGCCCATTATGTCTAGTGGAAAGAGCTCACAAAGTGACTTTTATTGTAGGAGAACTGAGTATCCAAGCCAGGCAGAAGAGCTGGGTGATAGGGAACCTGGAGGGATTCGACCCCTTGTGGTAAAAAGGCAAGCAGGAAAGCTGTCACGAAAATAATGCTCCTAAAGAGAAAGGAGCTGGTGGTGGGGTACAGCCCTGCCCACACCAGGGGATTTTCTGGCTTAGCAGGATCCCCTGCGCTCTGTCACCCTTCGTCTTCTACTTTTCTGCAGATCCCAGGCCCGTGCTGATAAAAGCCAGTGGCACAAACGAAGCCCAACTCACGCTTACTCCGCAAGTAAAATGCAAAGTGGGTGCCTGGGAAAGCCAGGGGGGTTTTTGCTTCTGCTCCTTGGCTGCCATCGCCTCTCGCCGTGGAAGAACCCTGGGCAGCAATGCAGGAGTCGGTTCGAAGCCGAGTCCCGTGTTCCTATTTTTAAAATCCCAATTTCAGAGTAGGAAAAAAGCGGTAGGCAAAGATGTTGATTGTCACGCTGTGTTCTGTGGGCAGGTCTCTATTTCTTTGCACAGCGGCGTGCAGAATTGGAGTTTATTGCTCTGACTGCTGCATTGTTCGGCTTTACAAGTGCCTGATGGCCAGTGCCAAATACCGCAATTGGCCTTGTTTCTGATTACCCCTTGACTTTTTTTGTTTGCTTTTCACTTTCTGCTGGAAATTTCCCCTTCTCTGAAAGCTGCTGAGCTGCGACTCTCCCTGCCTGCATCGCACCTGGAGCCTTCTCCTCGCAGAGCTTCCCGTTGGGTTTGGTCAGGGGTGAGGACAGATGGAGAGGTAAAGGTGGGCTTGTGGCACAAAGAGGACACCGCTGCTTGTCCTTGAGCAAAGAGGGGGCTTATGTTTAACACCGGGCACCCAATGGGATCCCTTACCTATAGGAAAGGGACAAAACCACTCAGGCCTGAGTGCAAAGAAAACGCACAGGTGAAGCGCTGTGTTGATCACAGTCCATTAAGGCATATGCAGAAATAGGGGTTTTATGCGTCTCAGTGCATTCTCCACCCATTTTAAATACATTTGAGGTCTGGGTGGTTGCTCAGGATTGGGTTTCTGCTGTATAAAAAGAAGGTTTTTGGCGATGGAATTGTATCTCCAAGTAGTTTTGAGCATAAACGAGGGCAGAAGTTGCCTCTTCCTTAGCCAAAGCTACACAGCCGGTAGCTGCATTACTCTGTGCGTTGATTTGCACTCCCAGTTCAACTGGTTGACAGCAAGAGTGAGAAGACACCAGACTGAAGCCATTGTGCCAATCAAAGCTGTAGTTGCACAGAAATCGGTAGTAGCAGCTCCGTGTGCATTGCCATATGTTTCCTTTAAAAAGCGTTCCTCCTCCTTTCCGAGCAGCTCCAGCAAACCCATTGCTTGCAGCAGGCCCAGTTTTCCCAAAGAGAAACCCTTCTCTTTATTCTGCCTGCAGCTCTGGGTTTTGCTGAGTTAGGAGCCAGCGCAGATCACCGTTTCTCTGTGTCATCCCCATCATGAAAATTTTAGGACCAGGCCTATGTGACTGGCTGTGCAATAGCACAGAACGCTGCGCCGAGAGCTCCTGGGATCCTCCAAGCGTATGCATTATGCATGCATAGACTGATATTGTTTGTGCTTATATGATCAAATACTTTTTTTTTTTTTTTTGGTATCACACTTCTACTTCCTTCAGGGCTTGATGGTTGCTCCCATGGAAGCTTTCACTGGCTTCAGTAAAGCAGAATCAAAATCTTTAGGAAGAAAGCGAAGGGCAGCATTAAACGTATAGGAGAGCAGAAATTTGTTATTTGCTAACTTTTCGTTGCTCAGCCAAAATCACTATATATATATATATTTTTTTTTTTTTAACATGCAAGCAGACAGGATGCGGTACATCTATATTTTACACTTACGCTGTGTTTTTTTATTTGGTAATTTTTTTTCTTGGATGAGCTTTGAACGAATGCTAAGTTATTCTTTATACTTGGTAATGCTGCAGAGAATCCTTGAATTATTTATTCCCTACATTTTAGCTTAGTGTGGCTGGGTGCCTGTAAGCCCACTTTGTAACTGATTGGGTGTTTGAAATTTCGGGGTAAGCGGTGGTAGTTTGGAATACCTTGCAAGAAAAAGAGGTCAGCCTCCTTCCTCCCATGCTGTCATCCTTGGAAAAAAAAAAGAACAAAAAAAAAAACAACTCACATGCTTCCTTAAGAGTGGTGGGAAGCTGATTTGTGAAGCAGATGATACATAGAAGCAATTGAGTTGAAGTTGCTAGAAATATGCACATGCTACGCAACATCTGCAGATCTCAAGATGTATTCATTATCTTTCCAGAATGTAGATTGTAATTATGGGCCCTTTATTTAAGTTTCCATGGTGATACAGCAAATGTTTCCCCCTTGTCCTTTCCTAATCAGGACACTTGTATATTTGAATGGGGAACATTTTTCCCTCCCCTGGGAAGAGTTAGTTTTATTAATACGGAGACATTAAGCTGACATGGAGCTGTCTGCTGCTCAGGCACGGATTCAACAGCAGACGTATCAAGCATTTGCTACAGATTCCCCAGTGCCTCTGTTTAATTAGCCTGTGTGCTTCCGAATGCAAGTAAGAAATAGCATCGTGTCATAACAAGTGGTGATGCAGTCATGCTTTGGGGATTTGTGCAGTTGGAGTCAAAGTCAAGAGGCCAATAATCCCTAAAACCCGGCCAAACTCCTCCCTTCGCCCAAGCAAGACGCGGTAGCTGAATTCAGTGGAGGGTACAGACATGTAATTTGGCTCAATGTATTCTGCCATTAAAAAACTCCTTTAAAAAAAGAAAATTGTGAGCTTTGTGGAAACAAACGATGAAGCAGCCCCGTTAAAGGCTGCAGCTGAATGGCTAACTTTAGGTTTTTGCTGCAGATTTACAAAGGAATCCCATAAGTGTTGCTGCAAAGCGAGCACTGGTATCTGTCTTCTCTCCTGCACTCCACGTTTTGAAATGAACCTAATCAGGTGTTCCTCAGTTATGCACCCTCAGAAGTAGTACTGAATTTTCAAATGACCACAAATTGAGCTGACTGTCCTGGAGAAGGGGATCCCCTCTGTTTGCAGGTCTGCTCCAGGAGCATGGGATCCATGTGGCCGCTGTAAAATTTCTTTTAATAACCTAATGTACACACAGCATCAGTACACATCCGTTTAAGTGTACAGCCTCATGCCTGTGGACTCAGGGATCTTAATGTTACATATTCATTAAGCAAATGCTGAAAGACATGGCTTAGTTACTAAAG